GAAGAAAAGATTTTACTCTTCTGCATTTTACATGATTTTATTCCTCGTGTCTGCATATATGTCCATCAGGTAATCCCAGAGGACTCCCTTTACCGATTGCGAAGCATGCTTACTTTCAAGACCAAAAGAATGATCTACTTCTGTATATGGATGAAGTATAACAACCATCATTGATATCTATATCTTTCTAGAATTCAAGCTTTTCCGTTGAAAATCTATAATCAGTATATTCATCCATAATGCTCTACCACAAGTCAGTATGATATTCTACTATGAGTTACATTTGCATGTCATAACCTTGTTTTTGTTTTTGGTAAAGGGTAAGTAGCGAAGGCCGAATTCAAGCCCAGAACTACAATACACTGTCAAAGTCTTTACCAGACAGGTTAGCGCTGACACCTTCCACAACTCATTTATCGCTCTGAAGGATAATAATTAGGAACTAGAATTTCAGCAGAAACGCTACCTTATGAATTTGAGATTAGCTCACCAAAATGGGCAAGCCATAACTAGTAATCATCATGAGCACGAACAGAAGAAATTTAAAGAACAAAAGTGGAAGGAAAAAAAAAACAAAAGAGCCATTACCTTCGTCACTAGAATTTTGATTCTCTTCGAACCCGAGCGCACTATCGAAGTTTTTCTCAATGTTCTTGACGCTCTCGCTCAGTTTGGAGACGGCCCCGGCCAGATCCGGGAAACCGCCCAAGGACACCTTCCCCAACCACGCCATTCCGCGCTAGCTATATACAAATCCCTTCCTACCTTAATTCCATATTCCAAGTTTCCATTTATCGACCCACTCTGCAACCAATTCCAACTCAAAATGGAGTTAGTTCAACTCGCATTACCCAATTAGTTCAACTCGCATTACCCAAATAGTTCAACTCGCACTACCCAAATCTAAGTCGGCAGATCAAGATTCTGTTCCACAAGCCACAGCAGCACCCAAATAAGGCATCAAGATCCAAATAGGCCGAGGAAATGTAGAGGGATCGGATGATCCCGCGTAAAATCGAAGCCAGAAAACTTTTCAAATCGACAGAGAACGAACTTCGACTCGGAGCAGAGACCGAGATCGGACGGAGATATCAAATTCGAGTGGTTGCTTTCCTTGAAATCGCGCGATGGCGACCCTGCGATTTACCGGTCAGGTGGTGAGAGATGGAGGGTCTGAGATATGGGGAATCGCCGACCTCTCTACCGACGGATCGGATTTGGAATCAGAAGAAAGAAACAGAAATTTGATTAAATATTATATTGTTATATATATAAGTTATTTTTGTATTTATTTAGCTAAATTTATGTCAAACGTATGTCGACATATAACAAAATGATTTTAAATAATTACTAAAATTAAACCATCATTTTTTAGTTTCATATCATACAAATGTTTGTTAATATAATTGCATTAATATAAAAATTTATATTAATATACAAGATTAGGTGGCTCCTGAGCTTCAATCTATTTTTTAATTTATTTATTTTTAATCTTTAATATTGAATAATTTACTCAACATCTTTTTTTCATAAATTTTAAGTTTATCCTCCTTTTAAGATAAGGCTCACTTCTCCACTAGTGTATGTGGTTGGCCCATTTATTTACAATGTTGAGCATTTAGTATCTTTGGATATATTCGAGTTATTTTTATCATAAAGTCGGAATTGGGCTTAGCAAGAATCTGGCATATTAGTTGATCTATCATGACAATGATATGATGAGCATGAAGGTAGGGTTGAAGTTTTCTAGCTACCAGGATCAACTCGAAGGTCAACTTTTAAAAATTAAGATACCGAGTTTTAGCTAGTATAATACATAAGCATTTAGATTCATTGCTCCTCTCGAATTAAGACCAACATTACAATCATTGGGGTTATAGATAAGCATAAATATAAATCCTTCTTCGGGCAAGAATTGGATAGTTGGGGAGGCGTCATGTGTATCTCTTAAGTGTATCAAATGCTTTGTAACATTGCTCGATTTATTAAGAGTCATTTGGATATTTTAGGATCTTGAAGAATGATAAACACTAATCCCTTCTCCGAGATAAGAGTCAACTAAAAGTGATAATTTAGTCTATCAACTATTGAACTTCTTTAATAGAACCCGGAGGCTTCATGTTGATAATGGACTAGACTTTCTCTAGATTTGCATATATTCCTTGTAGATGTATCATGAAGCCCAAAAACTTTCATGAACTTACACCAAATATACAATTATATTTAATTACATCCAAAATATTTTAATGGTGGTAAATGTTTCTCAGAGGTTGGTTATGTGTGTGTCGACAATGCAACTATTTACCAACATGTTGTATATACTCCTAACCACTTGACATATTGCCTCTATATTTTTTAGTTGAAATGGCATGATCATGTAACAAAATAAGCCTTTCTCAATGATAAAAGCTATGTTCTTTGTCCTTCGATATTATTTTAATTTGATTGTCAAAGAAAGCATCCATAAAATTTAACAGCTCATGTCTGAAGGTGTAATCGACAAGTTGATCAATTTAAGAAAAAAAATATCTTTTAGATAAACCTTGTTGAGATTGATGTAGTCAAAATATATTCTCAATTTCCCATTACTATTTCTAAGGAGAACTATGTTGGTGAGCCATTTTCGATAATGAACTTCAAGAATACAGCCAACTTGCAAAGGTTTTCCAACTTCTTGCTTTATGGTCTCTCGGTGGTAATCTTTGAGACATTTTAACAAACTGTTTTGTGCTATCGATTTATGTTAAGTTGATGTTGAGCTATACTAGGGTCTATTCCAAGCATTTCACTAGTCGACCGTGCAAACACTTCTGAGTTTAGTCATAGGAAGTTAATGAGTTTTTTCTTCCTATCTTAGGTTGAGGCTGACCTCATTTTTATTGTGTGATATAGTCGTTCTAGATTTAAAAGAATTTCTTCCGAGGGTTCTCCCACCACATAGTACATAATCAATAATGAGAGATCTTATGGGTCTATTTGTTGGACCGATAACTTCCCATTCCTTAGAAGGGTGATAGATGTCAAGTAGCACTATTTGGATTCCTTGGGGCCACTCTTGATCTCCCTTATTCTTGTATCGATCAAAAACTCAAGTATCATTTAATATATTGACACCACTACTTCTATTCAGTTGACTACTAGAAACTTGGTTTTTATTATCTTAGTGCAATTATTAGGTCCAAAGGTTACATAGATATTGATGATTCCCATCGAGGCTACTAACTCTCTTGTGAAGTTGATAAGAGCATAAGAGATGGGTCGGAGATCCTTGGCCAATAAACCAATTCTAGAAAAGACATGATAATATAATATTTCTACCAAGCTCCTTGTATTAATCATAAACCTTTTGAGCCATGCTTTTGCGATTCAAAGGGATAACACTAATGTATCATCATGCTTAGAATCCAGGTGCTTAGCCTTTTTTTCCCTAAACATAATGGGTTAGTCTCCATTTAGGTAGAACCTTTTTAACTAGGATTCCCTCATATACAATATACATCTTTTGAGCCGAGGAACTATTAGCCCCAACACTTGATCACTAGTTATCACGTTCACATACTACTCAATTAAGCCTCGGAGTTTTGATAAAGATTCTCAAATTTGATAGAGGAATTTATTGAGGTGTCTCTTATGAACTAAATCTTCAATTTGCTCCTTTAAGCTATAGCAAATTTCAGTTTTATGCCCATAATCCCAATGGAAGTGATAATATTTGCTTGTATTTCTCCTTGTCGGTGGGGCACTCAATAGTGAGAGTGTCCTTAGAAGTTCATTCTCTCTAACTTACATGAACAACTTAACGTGAGAAGTGTTAAGCAATGTGAGCTCTCACTTACAAAGGGGTTAATCTTCTCTTGGTTTGTCATTCCTCGACCTCTCTTAAGAACTTGAGCATATGATTTTTTTACTTCTTTTATAATTTTCTTAGGTTCACCCCTTTTTTTGCCAATGATAATCGACTCAGTAAACTATTAAAGTTATTTCTGAGTTACCTGAGTTAGAAGCCAACTTAGAATCAACTTAGTTTCTTTTCGAGCCAATCTTTGGGAAAACATGTCAAGATGATCTCCTATTTTTTCAAAACTAAGTTTTAGGAGATAAGTTCGACTAGTCTATCAAGCATCTTATTTTTTTCAATGTATCTAAGTGTATTTAGATCGCTCTTTTGATAATAGAGCTTAGGGGGCCGATATATCATTTGTTTAACATGGTTGTGCCGATTGATTGTAACTACTTATAACAGAATGCATGTTTCAACATATGTTGATAGTGCATCCACATGGAGATAAGATCATTACTGGGTTGTCCATGATACTAGTGACTAAGATGATAACACGTCGATTGCATATGATGCTAATATGTTAGCTACATCATATCCACTATAGCATAATCAATACTTGTGATTACTTTATAATCAAAGCACTATCGAAGATTATTATGTTCATTATAATTAAAGGGGAGAAATCATTTTGAATTCTATCTAAACTTAGACTTGATGAAACTAACTATTTAAATTTTTTATTCGAATTTAGCTCAATTCTAAATTTAAAATATACTTAAATCCATTATAGATAGTTATACTCGAAAACATTCATCTTCAATAGTAAAAATATTCATCTTCAATCAAAACTCAACACGTGACGTCCTAATAAGTAAAAGAAAATTATATATATATATATATATATATATATATATATATATATATATATATATATATATTATTTTATTTAAATTATAAATAAATAAATAAATTTTTAATAGGTTCAATTAGGTAGATAATAATTGGTTTCGGATCAAACATATTTTATTTTGATCAAATGAAATCGAAACTCGATTTAGGGTTCCATCTATTTCAACACTCCTGTAATTAATCATCTCATATATTTTCTATGGGTTCGATAGGCCTAACAACTCAAAAGAAAACAAAAAAAAGGGTCATTCCTAATTTATCGTGGGATCGACACCTAATAATAATAATAATAATGTTGACATCGTTCTTTCATTATGCTTTGTTGTCGATTTCAACCGTCCATGTACCGATATCAACATTATAAGCCATTCTGTGGAATACCATGGCATTAATTTTACTCTTCCAAGGATTTCTTTTCGGGGGGAAAACAAGGCGTCATAGCTCGATTCCCATCGGATCCGCTGCGGCCAGAGCTCACGGTTCTTTCCGGTGCCGGACGATGGAAACCGCCGCCGCTGACGCTGCCACCGATCTTCGTTCGGACTTTCTCCAAGTCCTGCGAAGCCGGAGGCGGAACCCCGATGGTATGCATCTTGTAGAACAGAGAGACTCTCGAGGGTTTATTGGCTCTCGGATGTTAATTACTGGTCGATTGTTTCCAAATCTTTTGCAACTACTTTATATCTGTAGATGTTTGGCTTGGCTCAATAAAAAATCTTAATTAGCGGTTCATGAGAATTCCCCTAACTACGAGAAGTTAGTTTTATGAGATATGATTTATGGTACTTGTCCGGTGGAATCAAGATGATCTTATCAAGAAATAGGTTATAATTGGCAAGAGTTGGAAGAATTTAAATAAATATGTTTTTTTTTTCTTTTGCAAGCAGTAGAAATTGGATTTGGTCTCTCAAAGTTTTTACCACCTAAGCAAGCTGGGAATTTTTTTTCTGTTGTCAGACATGATCTGTCTCAAATTTGGTGAGGATATATTGAGTCAGCGAATAATTGTTACATTATCTTTGTTCAGTTCCTCTCTGCGTTGAGCTTGGGAAACCAGTGAAGAATCCAGTGTATCAGTCGAGCATATTTCCAGGTTCCAAAGAGGTGAGGAAACCAAAGGAAAAGGCGGGCTTTGATGTTATGCTTCTTATAGTAATTCTTGATTCATCTTGGTAATGCCATTGCTCCAATTTTACAGGTAATGGAAGCTTGTCCAAAGGAGAATGTTGAGAATTTCAAGGAGAGACTGATTGAGGAGAACATTTACCTGACAACAGAGGTAATCTTATAAGATATTGGTTCCTTACTCTTTTGAATTAGTTCTGTTTACTCGTTAGGCATCTTGTCAGTTGATACGATGTTGAACATAATGGCAAGTTAATAGGCATGTGGCATGTCATTGACCCCGTGATGCTTTGCCAACCAAAGGCAATCATGTTAATCTCTTTAAATGTGCATCTTTCCTCTCTTTCAAGGTATGGGTTATGAAGATGACAAACCAAATGGTTGTTTTCCAGTTCATAAAACAAACTGAAGTATTACAGTTTGGATCTATTTATGATATTGTTTATGTTGTAACTTAATTTGAAAGAAAAAAAATTATATAAATTTTTTTGTAATATTTATTAGTGAATTTCCTAACCTTTTTTGTGTGATGTTATCAAGAGCTTGCAGTAGCATAGATTATATACAAAGTAAAAGCACTTCAATTAGGATTCTTATTTTGGTTTTCAAGTGTGAACAGAACATAAAATTACTATGTCCAGGACATACAATTACTATATTTCATCTACAAAACAATTATCTATAACTATGGTTCACATTTTGGTTTGATTTTGAGATAGAAACCAAGCTAAACTTTTAAGTATTATTCTTTAAAAAAAATTAAATAAATCATTTTCCCAACTTATGGTTAGATTGATCCAAACTACCTCCTAGACCAAAGAGTGTTATAAGCTTACTTGGACTGTGAATCTCCATTTTTCTACCTGAATGGTAGAGAACAAAAGTGCTTTAGTTATGAAAATATAAGATTTTTATCAGCTCCATCCTGCAGGTCCTATGGGCTGTTGAGAAGAGAAAAGAAGTCTTGTAACTATTTGAAGTATGAAAAAGAATATCATTTTGTTCTCTTTTTAGACAACAGGCTTTCATGTATATAGTAAAATTACCATTTCTAAGTTTACATGGAACTCCTAATTCTACAGAAAATAGGAGTTCGAGCAAAACAAAAAAGTGCCAACTCTGCCACAACTTCTCTTTTCCAGGGGATTAAAGACATGTTAGGGCATTAGATATCTAATAAATTCAAAACGTAAAATGTCTGGTTACTTTGATAGATTATTTTAAATTTTTTCCACCACCAAAATATAAAATTCAATTGAAGCTAAGAAAAAATTATATTAGAGATGAGCCTTTGCACTATACTAAGGTAGCTGCTTTACAAGACAAATAGATTTTAGTCACGAAAATAATGTCTCTACTTGCAGATGTGAGTGTGCTCACACGAATTCTCAGCATACCTGACACTAATGAGAGCTCGTTGTACTTAATCACCCTTTTTAGTGAAAAAAGATTGTGTTCATTTAGGACTTTACTTCACTCCATATCCTATCTTAGTGTTGGACTATATTATTTGTATAATGGCTAATTCATGGATTTAGAATATGAATGGTCAGTACATCAGCAAACAAGATGTAAAGTGTATGGTTAAATGTAATGCATGGTAATTTGCTACTACGCTAACTATATCTGAGACATCAGGAAAGTTCAAAATTTTCTTCTACAGGAAGGTGAGCAAGGTCGTCTTCCTGTATTGATTCTGAGCTTGAAGGACACTATTCCACAAAGAAAGCCAGCTGTTGTGCTTTTACATAGCTCTTACAAGTGCAAGGAGTGGTTGCAGCCACTACTTGAGGTTATCTTTAGGACCTGAACAGAAGTCTAATTCATAGGAGGTAATCTTTATGTGTCCTTTTGTTTGATTATTTGTTTTTTTCCAGGCTTATGCTTCAAGAGGATATGTAGCTGTTGCTATTGATTCTCGCTACCATGGTGAAAGGGCTAACAGCACAACAGCATACAAAGATGTAATAAAATATGAGAGTATTTTGTATTTCCCAAAGTCAAACTCCCTTGATATGGATATATTCATTTTATTGGCTTCACTTGTATTTTTGTAATAGGCTCTGGTTTCATCATGGAAGAATGGTGATACAATGCCTTTCATATATGATACAGTAAGTTGTTCTTCATTTGCTATGTATATGTGTGTGTGTGGTGGAAGCAACAATAATTTACAATTAAAATTTCTATGGCCAAATTTGTGAATGAAGATTATAACTTCTTATTATATATGTGGTCCTCAATGGATATGGCAGGTCTGGGACTTAATAAAATTGGCAGATTATCTGATACAAAGGAAGGACATTGATCCTTCTCGGATTGGGATTACTGGTGAATCACTTGGAGGTTAGTTATGATAGCAGATTGAGCTAACATTAGTAAAAAGTAGACAATTTTGGAGCTCATATAGTGTTGCTGATGTAGGAATGCATGCATGGTTTGCTGCAGCAGTTGATACACGGTACTCTGTGGTTGTCCCTATAATTGGGGTTCAGGTGTGTAAATGAGATATAATATACTGCAGTTATATGTGGATTTTTACCATCCAAGTAGATAGATGGTTGGTATATAGGAGGTTTTTTCCACAGTTAATTAATTGATTCTCAATGTTATGGTAATAGGGGTTCAGATGGGCTTTAGATAATGACAAGTGGCAGGCTCGGGTTGACAGCATAAAACCTGTCTTCGAAGGTCAGCTTGCTAGTTATCAGTTTCATATATTTGACCACGGTTACATCTTATAGACTATGAGTATGGTTTCATCTTTTCCAATTACATTTTAGAAAACATTGCACTATGTGCAGTATTTGATGCTTCCTTGTGAAGTTCGTCTTACCCTTGATGTTTAAAATTAGAAATGGACAATGACATAAGAATGCAACGACAGTATTATATAGCAGGTCTGCTGTCATTATATGTGATCATAATGCAAGTAATTCTTTATTCCATATGTACTGGAGCATAGCTATGTCACTGAAAAGTGTTTCTTTAGCCCTGCAATTAGTATTTTTAGTTATTTTTCTTTTGTCACAACTGATGTTCCTGTCTGTATTGATGATGTTAACTCAATTCAATAAGCCTACTTTCACTTATGATCTGGTTGTCTGATTTTGCTTAACCAATTGCAGAAGCATGTATTGATTTAGGCAAGAATACAATTGATAAAGAAGTTGTAAAGAAGGTTAGCTATGTTTTATTTTTTTAGCTTTAACATGGATTGACAGAAGCAAATCCAGGTTTTCATCTCATAGGTTTCAGTTCTTAAACATGCTTATGTTTCTTTGCCTAGGTGTGGGATAGAATCGCTCCAGGTTTATACTTGCAGTTTGATGCACCTTATACCATTCCTGTGATCGCACCACGTCCCTTGCTAATGTTAAATGGTATGTGTAGCTTTTCAACTACAACAAACAAACCTCTTTTCTGCTATCCTTGAAGTGCTGGATCTTGTTTCTTGAGATATGTTTGTTTACTTCACTATAGCTATTATATATATCTTATGCTTGAAAAATGAATGCTGCAAAAAGAGAGACTGTTCATGATAATATTGAAAATATCTTGTAAATAGTCTACTTTAACGGGGATTTGGAACTGAGTCTCTCGAGCATCAACAACTATAAGTAACCTATGTAGATGCAATTTTCATATATCTTTCTGTACCTATATCAACTAATGCCTGTTAGTTTTTGATACATGGACATTTGATTCTTATTGACTAATATAATATTCTGACTGTCTGGAACAAATAGGTGCTGAAGATCCTCGCTGCCCTGTTCCTGGTTTAAAAGAACCCCATGTGAAGGCAACTGAGCTTTACAAACAGGCAAACTGCCCAGAGAATCTCAAGGTAGACAAACTACTAATTAATGCTATCAATGGTGGATTTATTAAACTCATATTTAGCCAATAGAACTTGTGGGGATATCCAGGAAATGATTATGTTTATTTTCTGGAATGAAGAAATTTAGCGTCTGGTCAAGTTTGGCCTTGAACACATGGATGATAACCTTTTCATTTCGGTTAAAATTAGACCTTAAGATGTCATGAGTTTGTGTCTATAGCAATATCATTTAAATTATATCTGTAAGACTCATTTATCTCCTGTTGGATTTCTTCACCCTTTCGTACCCCAAATTGTGCTTATAGTATGTAGATCCGATATCACCTTGGGATTATCCGATCTGCTGCATTACCCCCCACATTTGCTTCAAGCAATTCATATTCAAACATGAATAGGATTTACAGAAGGAAAGAGCCAAATCCAATTCACTTTGTCGTTATAGTCCTAATGCTGGCAAAATATTCACAGTTATATTTTATTTGAACAGTTTATAGCAGAGGCCGGAATCGGGCACCAAATGACAGTTTCAATGGTGAAGGAAGCAAGTAGCTGGTTGGACAAGTTCCTCAAGTGATTAAGGTCATGCTTTCTGTCACGTAGGCAAAAGAGTTGAATCTTGCATGTTTTATAATCTAAATATGAACCCGTGGATTATCATAGACACAGTAATCCTCATCTACATGATGTGGAATGATTGGGATAATAAAATACTTGTAGGACGATAAACCTTTGGTATTTGCTTGAGATTGTAATGGAATCCTGTGTTTATGACCAGTATGTTACAATCTTTTCATCTGGTTGGCTCTTTTACCAGGACAGTCTCACGGTAACATATTCATTCATTCCACAGGAATCAGCTCAGATGTTGGGGTGAAAAGTTACAGTTCATCTAAAGCTTCCAAAAGTTGTGTTTGGAGTAAACTTTCATTCCCAAGTACAGTGACAAAACCTCAAGACGGCTTGAAAATAGGAATTTTGTGTTGGTAGTGTTGTCCAACACTTGCCTTTTTGTTAGTTTCCTATTGGAATTTTGTGTTGTGTCTAATTTGGTTGTGAATTTTGTGTTCTGTCTAATTTGGTTGTGCTTGACAACGTTATTAAGACCACAAAGAACTTGAGTTTTTAGCATAATAGCTCGAGAATTGAGATAGTTAAATTTCACTAAAATAGTTCTTTTTCAGCTGGAGTTCTGACCTTTCAAATTAGGTATGTGCTTGAAATCAATATGAAAACCATTAGGAACTTTTTGTTTAGTATATATTTTGTGTTCCAATTATTCTGGATCAGACTATATAAATCTCTGCCATGGTTGGGATTCTTCCTTATTCTATACCCTGTAAATTATCCAAAACTTGATTTTCTGTTGGATTTTTGTATCCCGTCAAATTATATTGTGCTTTTGATGAAATTAGTCAACACTGCTTGGATAAAACAGAGGGGATGCAATTTGACCATAAACATCTATTTTACATGCATCATAAGAGAAAAATGTAATTAGTGCAAAAATTTTAGGACAGATTTTATTGAATTTTGTGAGGTGCTGTCATTGCATATTCAGCATCTCTGTGTTACAAATAGAACTTACATCTGCTACAAAAATTTGATTCCAAGGAAAAGGCATTCTACTATAAACAGAAACACAGACTTCTTCAGGATTGCTTCTTAATTCTCATATTTTTCTCCAAACAATGTTTAGTTTTCTGGCAAATTTTAGCATCAAATACTGGATCAATTTTTTCTTTCTTTTTCTGGGTACACTAAACGAATTATTGGATTAAAGATCAATCTGGATATAAGATTCTCAACAGAAAGTAAGATTCTGGGAAGATTTAAGATTTTGGAATCCCAAATGCTTGTCCAAAACATGGATATATACATATATATATCTTCCACTGACACCAAACGAAAGAAACAGGGGTAGGAAGAAAAGACGGCCACAGCAAATAGTTTTATACTCAAACATGGGATCTCAAACTGATATCAAGTCACAGACAAAGCAACCACATAGAAAGAGTTAAACATGCCCTTATTATTACTAGAGAAATATGCATGGTGCCAAACCACAATCATGCAGAGCAGAGGCAGACCCTGCATATGAAATCTCCTTATCATAGTCGTTTTAGTACGGCGGTGTGGTGCTCCCTACTTTTTACCTCGAAGCTTCACCCCGAGCACCCTTTCCAGTTTGGTAATTATCTGTTGATTTGGAATGGCCTTCCCTGACTCGTATTCTTGAATCACTTGGGGTTTCTCATTGATTTGCTGTGAGATATTATGGGTGAGCTTAGATGTAATATGCAAGGAACTATTTGACCAAGAAGGCAACTGATAGAGACGATACCTGTGCAAGTTGAGCCTGGGTTAGCTTCTTGTCCAGCCGAGCTTGCATGAGATTTTTCTTCAGTTCAGACGGCACTCGCCCATCTTGTTGATAAGGAGAAAACATACAGATGAGGAACAGGTGAGGGAAAGTAGAACATCTTACCATCATAATGAAAAATGTGGAACATCAACCAAAGATCATCGTCAACCAAACAACTCATGCATATAATTCACTGTAAATAGTATCAAATATGAAGATGGTCCAAATAGAAAATTCTGTCAAACATAATCTATTGAGACTACCTTCAATGTGGTTGATGGCATTAATTCTCAAACCTGATCTGCTAAGACTACCTACAATGTGCTGGTCCCCCAGCTGAAGACTGGCAAACCTGACTTGCTAAGGCTACCTTCAACTTTGCAACTAAGAGCCAGCTTTTTAGACTTCATTTTGCCTTTCCTTAAAAAAAATATTGAGGAAAGTCAATAATTATCACACAAAAAATAAATTTCAATCTAGCAATATAAGCTAGGCCTTTCTCTACTTCACCAAAGTGTCAAAAGATAAATATGGTTGCTAAAAAATGTTGGAGGTCCAAGGCCAGATAAAGTATTCAAGATTTTGTGTCAAACTTCTGTGTAGCCTTTAACTCTTAGTCAATACAGACCTCTATATCAAAGGGTTTCATCACCAACATGGTGTTACATGTAGGAGTTGGTCCCATCTTGGTGTCTCCTACTAAAGATAATTGCTTATTTTATGCTAAAAAGACCGTAAACATTTTGTCATGAGTTATAATCATTGAGATAAGGCCTAAGAAACCAATTGTCATTTCTTGAATGCTTATGTAATGTTGCTAGGAGCAGAAAGTGGCAGGAGATAGTCGAACGGCAACCAGCTTTTTGTTGCATGTCCTCAGATTGATAGACTTCACAAACAATACTATGATTACCGAAAAGTTGTAATATGTACTTAAAGGATGTGATAACAAAACCATGTAATTCAAATAGAAGGTATTTTTAAGGTGACAGACAAATATGATGCTTTATGTAAATTCGTAGATGTTAAAACCACAAAACTAGATGTGACAAACGACATGATTGTTCAATTTGTCACCAACGATAAAGATTTTGATTGGGTTATTATAAATCTCAAAGGCATAAGTTGTTAGAAAAGGGCCCAATCTATATTAACCCTAACATCTCTCACATGCAGGCCAGACTAGGCTTGACATGTGAAAGTGACAAGTAGGTGGTACAAGCCAATTAGAGAAAATAACATTGTGCAAATATTAATTAAACACCAGGTATAATGGAGAGGGACACATACACTATTCAAATTCATGCTTATTCTGATACTGTGATAAAGACAATAATTCGATCATCAGTAATCCTAACAACTCAAGCAGTTAAAAAAATGACAAAACATCTATATAAACTCTATCACCTAAATGATACTTTGATATATCCTACTAAAGCATCCAAATATTGTGAGGGATAATGGGCAGAGGCAGCAGCAGGGCAAAGGCTTTTGTTCTGAGGAGACACTATGTTGTAGCTAATGGTTTATTTCAACATTTCTTTATCGATGTTTCAGTGTTCTTCTGTATGTTATCAGCTAAACATGACAACCAAGTGCCTTGACGATGACGGTGTTTGTTTATCTACTTATTTTGGCAGAGGAGATGGCAATCAGAAGGCGAAATTCCAAATGTGAAGAACATATGCCTAATAAATTTTGGTAGTTTTGGACGACATTAAAGGAACCAACAAGATTCCAGCTACAGCAGACAAGATCCTAATCTTCTATATGAACAATCAAACATAAACGTAATAAAGAACATCAGATAACAAGCTGAAATCAACAGACCGAGATGAATATTAACAAATAGAAACATCGACGAACTCACGAGAAAGGTTCTCGGTTTCCTCATCCAGCTTCCTTGTATTCAGGGTCGTGCTGCTTGAAGCAGCCTTGTTCGTGCCAGCATTAGCTGCAAGGAAGAAACAAGTCAACGAAGCTCAATAAGCAGATCAAAGAATCAGATCGATCCCTCTCTCTCGTGCATACACTTCTTGACGGTCTCGATGTCGGCCCCGCTGCGGCGGGCGGCGTTGACGGCCTTCTCGTCCTTCTTGGCGGCGGCGGTGGGCGCCTTCTTGCGGAGCACAACGGGCTCCCAGTCCTGCGCGATCGGACCAGTCCCGGCCATCGACGTCGCCTCTCGGATCGAGGTTAGGGTTTCAAAGGCGAGATTTTTGCGACCAGCGGAGGAACGAGAGGTTGAGGGCGTTGGTGGGTTGCGGGTGCTCCACGCGTTCATTTACCATGGCGTGCGGAGTTTACTGGGCTTGTCCTTTTTGAGGCCCAACTTGCACCCGGATCCGTTTGCAATCTCCGAATCGGGTCGGATCCTGGCCCACTATGAGTCCATACATTCTGCCCGTCTTCAGTGCATCATCTTCCTTCAATCTTGCTTGGAGGAATGATGCAGTCAGCTACACTGCAACTCAATTGAATCCAATGTCTGCTTGTCTCCAGTGCATCATCTTCATTGGATGACCCCAAGCAACTGTTAGAGAGAGAGAACTACAGGCCGAGGAATGAATTCGCATCTCATATTTCAGACTTTGGAGATGCAGGCCTTACAAAAACCTACTGAAACAGGAAAAGAGATCACAAATTACTTGCAAGTTGCTACAGATTTGCCGCAAATATTGCAAAGGAGAAGAATGAAAACCTCTGCAAAGCGCGCATGGCGACGCTGTGGCTTGGAAGGTTCGGCATTTGTTTTCTGCTCCAGATGAGTGAGAGCTTGTTTCCTAGGCTGTAAGCCAAGCCCCAAAAAGGACCATGGAGTTGGATTCTTCTTGGATGAGACGGAAGGCATGGTGTGGAGAAGCCAGGACTCTGATGGTGATTGAGGAGGCAGTAATGGCAGAGGAGACTGCAGGGGACTAACACTGTTCATGTCCGAGTCTTCTGCTTCAGGATGGTGAGCAACATCGGCATGCGTTTTCTTCAAATCTAGCCGGCTTCCATCTTCGATGTTGGTAGTGTTGCTTTCTTTGCCGGGAACTCCAAGAAAACCTCTCCCTTCGCGGAAAGGTGATGGAGGAGCTTCGTACCTGTAAGGTGAAACTGCTCCACCGATAGAATGCTGGGCTGTCGGCGAATCGCCCCGACGGTTGGGTTTGCTTGTTAGTTTGGTGCCTTCATCTTCTTCTTGACTCGAGTTTTTGATCTGTGGGCGATGGATTTCTCTTCTCCTCGGCGGAGGCAGATGACGGCCGCGATGCTTCATCCCGGGGAACGGATTGAAGAGGCAAAATGAGCTCTTCAGAGAGAACTTTGGAAGCAACCCGCAAGCTCCCGAAGGCGTTCGGCCATGGTTGTCGTAGTCATCATCGTCTTCTTCACCGTCGTCGTCAGTGCTATGCGACGGCCTTCGATGGTGGAGGAGAGGAGACCTTCTTAGATTCTCGCTCACAAGCCTGTCGGTCGCCCTCGTTGGCTCTCGGGCTGGAGTAGCCGCTTTCCTGAAGGTGTACTGCGGCGAGCCCGACGCCAGCGCCTGGGCGGCGGGCAAGAACCTTGCCATCATGAAGTCCTGCACCTGCGGCTCTCTCGAGGCGTGGGTCGAAGGCTTGACGTGTTCGCGGAAACTACTGAGGCCGCTCACGCTGCAGTTCATGAGGAAGGATTCCGTCCTCGACAGCGCGTCCGGCGCGTCCGTGAATACGTCGCCGTCGTCGTCATCGTCGTCGTTGTTGTTTGTGTTGTTGGGCGCCTGAGTCGGCTGCTGCTGTGACCTATTGTCCGCCTTCAAGTCCTCCTCCTTGGCCGCTTCAGGGGATGCTGCGGCGCCTTCACTGGGATTGAAGGCGGCGGATTTATGAATCCCGATACTACTGCCGAGCTTCGCGGGCGGCGCCGTGGCTTCCCGTGAAGAATGCAGCTCCTTGACCGTCGGTTGCCTGCCGCCACCACTCTTCGGCTGGCCGGGCGTCTGCTCCCAGACGAAGGGGACGACGCCGGGGTTGCACACAGGGCCGGACTTCAACTCCGACCTGTAGAAAGGGAGCGAGAATCTACGCGGCGGTGGCTTCCTGCCGCTCTCTCCACTCCCATAAGCGGGTGGAACCGAAGAAGAAGAAGAAGCCGCCGCCGCCGCCGCTGCCGCCGCTTCAGCAGAGAGTCGCCGGACGGAGAGGAGCGGGGCGTCGAAGTCGAGCTTCTTGTCCTCCATCAAATTCTTCACCATCTTCGCGCATCGATCAGACTCCAAGATCCAATCTTTCTCCACCCAGACACACCCAGCAGTGTCGCAGTCGAAGAAAAAGCAGATCTTGAATCAAAGAAATCATTAAAATGAATCCGTGAACGAGTTCTTCAAAAGGATAGAAGGCGGAGAGGACGAGAGAAAGGATTCAAACTGTGAAATGCTTGGAATAGAATGTAGCGCGGTGGACTGAGACAACTTCTACTCCGGATTTGCGTGAGCGTACCTTAAATTAGATTGAGTGATTCATTAACTTTGATGGTAGATTTAGACCTGAAGATTTAGGTAGACGCCACGAATGACGCTGCCGTTGGCCTTCGACTGAAGCGTTGACATCGTGGGCTGAAAACAAAGAACGAGATCCTCGATTCACGCGATTGCTCGTTGTTGGAGCCGAAGGAGAGTTGACTGTATCGAGTCAACAGGAAAGAAAGCAGTGCGATCTGTGGGTCAGATGGAGACTCACGTGTTCGTCATTAATTATCCGATCAACGTGACGTTGGACGTCGTCGCCGGGCACAGAAGTAGGCAGCGATGAAGGCGAGATCTGCCTTCGACTTGTTGACTACTGTGCAGATGACGGCAAATAATAAATAATATTAATAATAATAAATGATAACATAATATGAAGAACAATAACAAAGAATTTAGGTATTTTTTAGGGTTTTTTTAATTATAAGAAATTTTCATCGTATTAAAAGACGTATATATCTTTCGAAGAATTTTAATAAATATAAATTAAAACCTTTTCCTACGTCCCGCGGGCCCCTTTCTTGGCTCACAGGGTATGCGGAAGGGTAAAACATTGGGGCAATAGAACGCAAAAGGAACATCATTTTGCTATTTTTGGGAGAATATAAGCGATTTAGTCGAGTTTTTGATGGCTTCACATCGGCTTCTTCCTTAACCCCGTCGACTCATCTCTCCTCTTCCGTCCTCGTGGGATCCGACCATCGCGTGGAATGGCCAACAGCAATCTTCCTCGAAGGATCATCAAGGTAAAGTTCCTCGATCTTAACCCTTTCCGATCGGTGATCTCCCGTCTTCCCCTTCAGACCTCGAGGAGAGAGGGAATGTTCTTAGGGTTTCGTGTTTTGTTCTCTGATCTTGGCTTCTTGATTCTGTCATACGAACAGGAGACGCAGCGGCTTCTCAGCGAACCAGGTTTGTTTCGGCTCGTCTGTTCTGATCTCATGCTGGATTTCTCTGATGATGAGCTTGGGGTTGTGGATTGTCATCGGGGGAATGCTTGGCGTGTTATGGTTTTGGTTGACGCATTCTATTGTCTTCTGCAGCTCCGGGAATAAGTGCTTCCCCGTCGGAAGACAACATGCGCTACTTCAACGTGATGATTCTCGGGCCGTCCCAGTCTCCGTATGAAGGTAAAGTTGTGGATTGTGATCATTGGTCTGACTTGTTACTAAATTCATCTGTAGCGTGTGCTTACAGTTGCAAATAAGATTCTTCGGTTATAAATAGTTGGATCACTTCATCAATTCACTCTGCAAAACTACAGATCCTGGTAAACTTTCTTCAAGATGGCATCTGTATAGGATGAGTTTTCGCTCTTTGTGACGTCATTAATGTGAATTTTTCAGCACACTAGACCTAGATGCTTTATTTCTTTGATATCCTAATTAATCCCATACTGGAAGTGGAAGGTGGGTTGTGTTAGTAGACAGACTTGGTGTGGTTATGATAGCTCAGGGTTATGTATTTTGAGCTATGTGACTAGAGACCCAAGTGGGAAGGGGTTAGTTATACATGGTGAAAGAGTATCTTTATGGAATATAATATCCTCTCGATATATTTAGTACACATATTATATAGTCCTTCCATATACAGTGTTCTAAAATGATGTACTGTTTTTAAAGGAAGATTAAGTTTATCTGTTAATTTTCAGAACATAATATGACAGTAGCAACATCGACAATGAATTCTTGCATACATCGATTTTGCAAATTTATGAGACAAGCAAAATTTACATATCAAAGAGCTCTAGAAAGTATGCCTTTACAATCTAGTTGCATCTATGTGAGTGATGATACTCCAAAGAACGATAATCCAATGAAAATGATCTGCATATTCTACGGTAGATCTATAAGTCAGAAGCACTTACTGATCTGATACCATTTGAACAGAAAAAAACTTGCACAGGGAACCATCTACACTAATTTTAACAATGAACATGTTGCAACAGTTATGAATATGTCATCCAAACAAGCAACTGTTATCAAAAACTTAAATCTGAATATCATTATCCATGAAACATTGTGTCTATTTATAAATATAAAAAGCAAGTTTTAGTTTTAGATATATTTGGTCAACTCCCATCACAAATTAAGGCTCGACCACTGACATCGCAATATATTCAACACAGATAATTAAATATATCTAGATTTAATGTTGTAATCCTCAATCTTGGTGTAAGCCTGTTAGTTATAGATCTCTACAAACTAGTCTTGTGTTCTTTACGAGCTTCTTTGTGTACATTTGTTTTATTAAATCTTGAAGTGTCTTTTGAAACTTGGACTGAAATTGAACTAGAGCATATTCTTCAATGAGGCTTTTGAAGTAAAAGAACCAATTAGTTCTATTCAAAATCGGTTTCAGGAACATTTACTGTGTTCAATGTTCATTTTATTTTAAGTATGTTCTACGTATTTATCAAAAGGTATTGATTCAAGTTTCTAGTAACATTTTGTTCTTCCAATATATATACTTATATGAAGTATTTTCTCCCCTTCATGTCTGACTTTGACCTTTTTTGTTAGGAGGAGTATTCAAGCTTGAGTTGTTTTTACCCGAAGAATATCCAATGGCTGCCCCAAAGGTATGGTGATATGACTACGTATACATCTTGATTGTATTGTTTAGAGCCATTATTGTGGATGTGTTTAAGTCAAACACATAAAATTGGTGTTCAACAGAGTTGTGCATTTTGAAGATTTATCTTATTTCAGTTCCTGTTTATATTTAGGGTTGGCTAGACCTATTTGTTTGATGGTTCTCCATGCTGATGAGATAAGGTTGACATTATCACGAGCATAGGCACTCAGGCATAAGAGTTCACTGTTAGGAGTTATGAACACTGTTAGGTGGACTTTGTTAAATTGTAAGAAACTTACGAACGGTGGGTACACTGTTAGGAGTTATGACATAACAGTATACTGTTAGGTAGATAATAGGAACATCTAGCTTCGCTCACTTGGTATATCTTTTTAAATAAATAAAAAAAGAGTGTACCCAGTGTATGAGGTTGCCACCAATTCGGGGTCTAGGGAGGGTCAATGTATGTGGCCTTATCTTTAAATATTTTAAAGATACTGTTTTCATGACTTGAACCCTAGGCTCCTAGGTTGCAAAGGAGCAACATTACCGTTGTACCAAGTCTCGCTTCGCTCGCCTCGAGTGTTTTGGCATCTTCTGGCGTCTAGCGCTTTTGAAAACACTAGCATGATATTCAAAACCATCACAATGACATTAATCGGGTCTGATCTCATTTTGTGAGAATTATTATATCAATGTATCTGTTAAATTTGACTTTCCTCAGTCATGTAATATAGTTTCAATGCCAAACAATGAAATAGTTCTACCTTGAAACATACATATTCCAAAAACAAATAGCTGTTCATGCTTGTACTTTTGCTGGCTGTTGCATTTGAATTTTTAAAAATACCAACGACAACAAAAGGAAGGTGCCAACTATTTGGGGTCATCTGGCTGTATTAAGCTTTCCCTTCCACTGAACCCTGTTAAGTGCAATATCATTCTCTCTCTTTTTCTTACATCACTCAATTTTCCCATATTGTTGCACGTTCATGCTTCCCCTCTTTTCCCAAAGCAGATGAACTTTCTTTCCATTAAGATTTCCTAACTAAATCTTCTGAACTGCTCTAAAATGATTTACTTACTTTCGATACGTGAACCTTAAAAATCTTTATTTCTGACATCGAAACAACTGCGTAGGGGCTACAGGTAGAGACATTAACTGAATCCCGGACAAGCATGTGACTATTTTTGAACATGCAAGTATGCTTGTCAATCTAAATGGAGAAACATTGAAAGACAAACTTTTCCTTGTGCATCTGTGTATTGAAAGACAAGTTATATCATGTCATTTGGCTTCGTAAAATGGCAGGAAAATTTCATATCTGCCTTTTTATTTTGTGGCAATTCTTTTAAATTTGTAAATTTACTCTCTCTCCTTCCTTAATACATAGTATTAGTATTACCTTATAGGAAAAATGTTTGAATCTCAAAGCTAATTTTAATGATTAATTCTAAATTTCCAGAGACAAGAAATTTGATTTTTTTTTTTTTTATTTGTTTGTTTTGTCTTGTTTTGTTGTGCATCTGGAATCTCTGATGATATCCAACTAGCTACGATTATTTTTGTGATGAACTTCGCTTGATGCCTTTGTATTGTGTTGGTAATATTTTAGGACAATAACGTAGCACGAGATGATAGCCTTTGTCAACTCTTGCATTAATGGCTGATATCAAGCACCATTGTCAATTTTTTATTCATTTTTATTTTTTTCTTGAATTTGCACTTTCTGATTCATCATCTGAAGTTGCAACATCCATGCTTCAATGTTATATTTTCTTTAGTTATCCATTGTAATATCTATTGGGATTCAAGCCTTTATTTTCTCATGCTGGGCATCAGAACACGAGCATTACCAAGAGTATTCGATTGGTCTAATCTTTCCATGACCTTTGAGTTTCTCTTTCTTTTAATCATGCTGTGCATGCTGAGTCAGCTACCCTTGCTGGTTTAACTGTCTGTGAAACAGGTCCGCTTCCTCACCAAAATTTATCATCCTAATATTGACAAGGTTAGCAGATCATTCATTCTTGTTCTTTCGCAGTCACTGTGATTTCACTTAATTACTAGCTTTTTGCAGCTTGGAAGAATATGCCTAGACATTCTAAAAGACAAGTGGAGTCCAGCTCTCCAAATTAGAACAGTACTTCTCAGGTGACCATCGTATTCTTGGCTGTTTCATTTACCCTGTGGAATAACCAGAAACTTAATTCTCAGTTTTTTGTGAGTACAATCCTGTAATGCATTTGCTTGCATTGTACCCCTGAAATATGTGCTCCATAATTTTTTTTTTTACTTTTTGCATGTGTTATTGCTCAGGTTATTTCTTAAAGTATATAGCTGATCAAAGACAAACATAAATGCTTGCTCTCACAACTCTGCATTTCCTTTATCATGTGTTCTGGGGTTGATCTTCTACGAGGCATTTATCTCATACTTTCCATCTGTTTCCCATAAATTGGGTTGAGAGGTTAAGGAGACAAGTCAGTTGAAGGGCAGAGGAGTTTCTAGGGATGAGGAGTGTGGTAATCAGTAAACTTCCACAGTGAAAGCATGGGTTTGATTGTCATCAAATTAGTCCATGGTACAGTAAGTAGCTGCAGAGAGCTTATAACACCAGAGCCATGCATGCAAAAAGGTGGTAGATTGAGGGGCATACATGCATTTGTGACTATAGTTCTTGTTTCTCCTTGATGACTCTCTGTCTCACATATGCTGATGATAAAACTACTTAATGCTATTTGAACAATTATTAACGAGCATGTAATGAAGCCCGTCCTATGTGTAACTGCAAAAACTTCCCCTACCTGTTGCCATTCCTAGGATGAGTACATTATTGCGTAGCACATGCATCTGATCCTTTACTTTACTTCCCCTATATGGATCATCATGATTATACTTCATTAAATTATACTGATTTTTCAAGAGCTTGTACTTAATTTAGCTGTTGGCTTCTTGAGTTTGTAAAGTTTCTCAATTTCTTGAATCTAAATCTAATATCGATTGGTTTTATTTTCTCTAGTATTCAAGCTCTTCTCAGTGCCCCAAATCCAGATGATCCACTTTCAGACAACATTGCAAAGCATTGGAAGACAAACGAAGCAGAAGCAGTGGAAACAGGTAAGCATGATGATGATGATGATGATTATTATTATTATTATTATTATTTGAAGAAGCAGCTTGATGCTTATTTCTGCATTAATATTTGCTGATTATATTTCTTTTCATGGAATTTTATTGGACATTGCAGCTAAGGAATGGACCCGTCTATATGCTTCTGGGGCATGAAATGGACAACACTATCCATTTCATGACAGCTACAGTGGAGTTTTAACAAAAAGGTGCTGGTTGCTTTTGACAAATGAAACCGTGATCTTGGATGCATTACTAAAAGCTTTAGATATTTCAATTTCCTCTGTTATCCTATATGGTGTATATTGCTCTGAGGCTACCTCATCCAGTTTGTAAGAGGACTCTGAAGTTTGCAAACTAATAAGAACCAAGAAGCAAATTCTTGCTTCGCCTGTGTGGGACTGCAGAAATACCATAGAAGGTGTTTTGAAGTCTTAAAGCACACAACAGATTAACAGTTTATATGCTTGCCAGTCATCTGCAATTATGCAGATCCAAGAATCCTATGAGCAAATGAATACTCGTTAGATTTCCAAATTATATACTGTAGCGTTTTCAGTAAGCCTTTTTTACCTCAAGGCTGCAGATTCTTTCTGGCAGAACATATATGATCTGGCATTGCAGGCGTTTTTTTTTCAACTTTGCAGTTACTCTTAGTTGTGTTATTATATTGATGCACTTAGCATTCTCATTGGGCCTCTTCAGTATTTGTTTTGCTCACAGCAACTTCCAGGCTAATCTATGGTGGGCATTCAGTTTCATCAGAGTTAGCAATTGTGCCCAAGCATCTCCGAGAAGTAGGTTGCGTCAGTGCTACATTGTATTTGCTTGTTTGATGGAGGCTTATGGAAGAACAATGAACTACAATGGAGCATGGGGGATCAAAGATAACCCAGTTTGTGCCCTGTGGTTCCTACAAATCAACCCCTGGTTGCATTTTTTGCGCTTTAGCTGCCATCACCAAACTCGGCTTGTAACAGATGTTGTTCTGCTAGTGCTGTTATCAGCATTCCCACCCGGCCTTGTGCACGTTGGAGCAGCTTGGGCGGCTCCATTGAGGCCACTGCAAGTGGTTGTGAGCTGCTCTGCTTATTGATTGGATCATATTATTAGCGAACAATGGGAGATCAAATGCTCAGGATGAGCTACAGCTCAGCTGTGTTATTGAAAGGGAACCTGCTGTGATGATGCCGCAGATGCTGGTACTGGTAGGGCCACCTTCTTCCTGAGGAGCCAATAAAGTCGAATCAAAGAAGGTGATGAAGAAAGGGAAGCGAGTGAGTCGTGTTCTGTTTGACTGTTGAACTGAGAGTAATGCTGAATCCGTCCTCAAGTTCTTTTATTAGTTTGATTGCTTGTTGCGACGTAATGTGCAATGATGACACATCCTTAACAATGAATGGCTCTTGAAATGTGCAGGCTTTGTGATTAGAGATGATATTTCCAAGTGCCTGCCTTGAGGATGCAGCAGGTACTGGGGAGAACAAATCCAGTTTATACTGTGAGGCAGCTGCCATTTGTGGATGCAGGTGTTGAAAAGTCAAATCCTGTGTTGCGTGTGTTATACGTGTGGCAGGAAGTGTTTTGATGGCGGGCAGAGCGTCGGTGTTCCTCAGCGGCAGTCACCGCTCGACCTGAAGACCACAGGCCGACAGCGTGCACCGCCATGTCGCCCCGAAGTGTTCCCCCGTGCTGCGTTGCAAGTGGTAATCAATGGCCTTCTTCTTCTTGCTCGCCATCAAATCATTTCACGCTCGTGATCTCGGCGCCTGTGATCTGACGCAACGCCATGGTCGGTGTCTTCAATGCATTAAGAGGAAGAAAGGCACGATGGTGGCCGACAAGAAGACCAGGCTGAGCACAGCCAGGGAGGAGCTCAATGAAGAGAAACCTCAACGGGAGAACAAGTCGATGGATGCCTTTGAAGTAGTATCGAGGGAAGAGGAGAAAATGACAGCCATTGAGACAAGAAGCGATGATGAGGACGACGCAGCGGTCGCTGCAGAGGAAGAGGAAAAGGAGAGCAAAGCAGTGGCGGAGCTTCCTGTGAGCCCGGAGGTAGACCACCTAAAGGTCAAGCTGTTGGAGAAGGAGAAGGAAGCGGAGATTATCGTGGTAGAGAATGCGATCTTGAAGACGAACGCCGAGGCGGAGGCGAAGAAGATGGCGGGCGCAGCACGGGCAAAGGAAGCGGAGCTCATGGCGAAGCTGGAGTCGACGGAGGAGGAGCTCAAAGCTAGCAGAGCCAAAGCGGATCGGCTGGCGGAGCAGCTGGAGGCGGCGGAGGGGGCGAAGGCGGCGCTGGAGGCGGAGATGAGGCGGCTGAGGGCGCAGACAGAGCAGTGGCGGAAGGCGGCGGAGGCGGGCGCCGCGGCGCTGGACGCGGAGGGGAGAAGCTGCGGGTCGATGGACAAGCGCCTCGAGGCCTGGCACGTCGGTTGGGGGTCGCCACTGATGGCAGGGGACATGGACGACGACGGCGCTGGCGGGGCGGCGTGCGGCGGGATGATGAAGGGAGGCGGAGTTTGGACGGTGGTAGACATTTGGAAGAAGAAGAAGAAGGGACAGCAGCAATGAAGCATGAGAGGGAAGAGGAGGGAGTGACTGCATGGCTCATCATCACGCTGCCTTTTGCATTCGTCTTCATGTTGGTTGCAAATTACTGCGTTTAAGTGTGTTCTGTTTAATTACCCTCTCCTTTTGGACACTTTAAAACTACAATGTAAGGCGAACTGTAAGGCTGCATACGATCGAAGACTAATGTAAGGCTGCATACGATCAACAATATGTATTTGGATCGTCTTCTCATTTAGGCGATCTGTGAGTCACAAAAAAGACTGAACAAAACATATGATGCTTCCAATATCAAATCATAGCATTATCTATCAAACATCTAATGAAAAATGCAACAAAGATGAGTTGAACAAACCTACTAGCAATACATGATCTATCAAACAAAATGGTCTTCGGTTCTACAATAAGGACAATGCAAATTTTAAACATCTTAGACCACATTTAAAACCTTAAACAAAAACACAAATTCGCAGCAAGAACCATCTCGTTTAGTGTCATGCTCGACAACTTGTCCGTGTAGTCAGTAAGCGTGTGATAACCTGCTGTTTCGGTATGTCGGGATAACAGTTGTCTCACCTCTTAAACCTAAGATGAGCAGCAACCAGCTTTCTTAACAGCGGATACATCATCCTTGGTGCCGACATTAATCGTCTGACCCTTCGGCAAATCTGCTGGATCATCACCAGCTTCAAGTGACTTCCTGCTCACCACGCGATATATCTGGGTCAACACTTCAGTAAAGGCATTTTCCACATTCATTGATTCCAGAGCAGATGTCTCCATGAAGAATGCGTTCTCCTTCTCAGAAAATTCCTTTGCATCCTCAGTATTAATAGCCCTAAGATGTCGCAGATCTGCCTTGTTTCCCACTAGCATGATGACAATATTGGAATCAGTGTGATCTCTGAGTTCCTTCAACCATCTCTCTATGTTCTCAAATGTCACATGACGTGTGATATCATAGACAACTAGCGCACCAACTGCTCCCCGATAATACGCACTTGTGATCGCTCGGTATCTAATTTAATGTAACATAGGAGGAGTTAGTAGTCTGTATATGGTATACACCATAGGCCACTATAACAGATATAGTCCAACGAAAATTTTGTGCTCAACACATCTAACATAAATGCACATAATAATGTTTTCTTACCAAGTGGTGCTGCAAACTTGAGAGCAATACAATTTGCAAAGATATCAAACTGTGTGTACGAAAGATTCTCATTTTCACTATTAAATACAGCCAAAGCTAAGAAACCTTTCACAATTCTAACACCAGGGAAAGGAGAGGATTTCACCAAGAGAATAAGACATATGTCATAGTTAACTGATTAAAATGAAATCATTCACTGAGCAAAATGGAATATTTCCGTGGATAATCAAACATGGAGGCATGAACTCTTTGTAAATTGGGAATACATAAAAGATCAATTTGTCGACCGAGAGAATACATCAACTATACAAGTGTTTCAAGCACTGCTAGAAGATAAAGGAATTGTACTAAAAATCTAATAAATAAAACAATGAAGTTAAGGAAAATTTCTAATTTAGAAAATATATAATCCTCTATATACTTTTCCTCACAAAACAGAAGCTCATGCACTGGGACACCTCTTCTTTACCTCTGTATATGCCTTCACAAAAGATGAAGCAAACAAGGTAAACAAGAGATCTTATCTTTCTATTAGAAAAATGGAAGAAAAGAACACCTATATGAAAAAATTTGCTATTTCTCTTTTTTCTTTTCTATTGATGTTCCCTACAAATATATTAAGTGGATTCCAACAAATTCTTATCCATTCCCTCTAAGAAGACTTAACTGCCATCTTCCAAGTGAAGGATCTCAAGCAATAATGCTTCACCGTGCTGACCATACATGGGCCATTATAGCATCGAGCTTATAGAGTGCAGGATGATTGGCTAGATTGTGAAAATGGAAGTCTGGATCTAGAGATGATGACCTAACATATAAGAATTCGCTGGTGATGCACAAATTGAGGATTTTAGGGAAGTAAAAGCTCAGCTTTCTTGCCCTATCTGATGCATCGATATGGCAATTGGCCTCTTGCTCTGCATTGGGTAAATGGAGAGAGGTTTACGGTGAGTGTTTAACTCACAGCCAACATCCACATACGGTTTGTTTCACTTTTCAGGATTTCTTGAAGAGGTAAAATGAAATGATGTATATCTATTGTAGGTATGACAGTGTGAAGATCAAGGGGTTCTTACACAATGTTTTCAGAGCATGCACAACTTAGGTATAACACAGTGAAAATCTACGGTTCTACCTTAGCTACCGAAACGAGTGTTGTGATTCTTCCTAAGATAAGAACAAGTGATCTAGATGAGTTCGGTTCTAGGGTTCCACCTTAGCTACATGATCAGGAACCAGGTATTGAAACTCTAAATTCCTTTCAGGCGCAAAATATACACTGATGAAATAGAAAGTTGTCCACAAGGTAATGCTATCTACCTCTCTACAATATTGCCATGAGTCACAATCATAATACATCCGACCTTAATACTAAGTTTTCTTTCGTGCTTTGAATTTTTCCCCGACGACTACACAGATATTACCATTGAAAAGAAATAAAGCCCCAAAAAAAATCAAGAAATCTGACGCGGAAGGCAGAGCGCCGTTCATATCAAGGAAAAGAAAATATTTTGGACAAGATCTGATGCACAAAACCCTAATTTTCATACAACAGAATAACCAGAGGTTACAACCGGAACCACGTCCCACGCCGGATCTGAAACCTAAGCACCCAAGGCCGATGAACAGAGAAGGCAAAGAAAGATATCGAGAGATCGGATCCAAGTAACAACAGATAAATCGTAGCAGGGAGGTCAAGAATCCGAACCTCTCTTGGCCAGCGGTATCCCAAATCTGGGCCTTGATAACCTTGTCCTCCACGCGAATGCTTCGGGTGGCGAACTCGACGCCGATGGTGGACTTGGACTCGAGG